ATATATATATATATATATGGGATAACAGAGAAAAAACGGAATGGATGTCTATGGGATAAGCATAAGACAAAATAGATGCCTGCCTTTCTTTTGCTCTTAATTTTCACCTCTTTTCCATTCATATTGCTCTTTTATCTGAGCGTCTCTCAGTCAGGCTCGTGACTAGTACCGCTGCATGCAGAACAGTTTAAGACGTGATAATATAAAACTTGAAATGAAGTGGTTTAATTCTGCAGCAATTACAACACAAACCCCTAAGGAGGCGAGCTGTCCTGTAGTCTATGGAATAGGCAGAACAAACCGCCGGTTAAGACAGCAAAGTAAAAAACGCAGCTTAGTATGGGCCGCCATACTGTTTGTACTAAGGAGATGTGTCTGTCTTCCGCCTCATTGAGACAAGCTTCAAAAAATAATAACTTAATTAATTAATTTGATTTGATGCTTTATTTTTTAGCATGAGACGAACACCTTCAGTGGATCAGTTCTTCGTGGCAGAACTGAAACGCGGTGGCGTCATTCTTGGGTTTACAGGCGGCATTTTGTTTGTTTATTTTGATGATTCTACATTTACTTTCACATTGTTGTGGAAACTGCTGTACTTACTGGACAGACGAACTCGTGCTGTTGTCATTTGACTGAGCTCAAGACGGCGAGATGGATCGGCGGTGGCTGTGGCGTGGTGTGTGCACAAAACTGCTGGATAATGGCTTAAAAACACAGCATCAAGAACTTCTTCTTATTTTATTGCACAAAAAAACTACATAAATTCCTTTATTTTCATAACATGCGGGTATTTTCAGCCGTCTTGCGTAAAGGCACCGCTCCTGTGCAGCAGTAGTAGTACCCCCGAGATGAGCACGCGGTGGCACACGGACTACGCATCTTGTGAGGCGAACTTGCGCATCAAAAGCGTTGAAATAAAATGAATTTCGAAGTAAAATGCAAAGAAATGCGGAGTTGATATGAAAAAGGCAATAGCTGCGGGTTTTAATGGGCGTGTGCGGCTGTGTTGACCGTCGAGCTCGGCTACGGTGTGGCCGAAGTTGAACACCTCGCGATCCTCTTGTTCAGAGTATATTTTATGGAGGAATTTCCTTTCATTCATAAGTTTACTTCATTTTCTTCCGTTTCTCCAAAGAAAGCGTTAAGTCACCTACGCTTTCCTTCTCTGTTCCCGCTTTCGCCAGCCAACAAGCAGAACCGCCACCCTCCCCTCGGCGCCAGCAACAGACGCCCCCCACCATCTCATTTTCAAACCCTTTGCAAAGTGCACATTCCTTTTAGATTAAAGCTGTTTATTTCCTCAATTTCTCCTGCTTAGCGCGCCGCCTCCTGCCCCCCCTCCTCTCCTCTACACACGAAGGTGGTAGTAAGTAGCACCCCTTGCTGGGGGCCCCTGTCTTAGCCCTCTCGACCCGCCTCAGGAGCCGCTGTTTCAAATTAGATTTCTTCTCACGATCTCTCCGACAGGTCTGCTGCTTCTAACTACAAGGCGCAGCTTCAGGTTTCGCGGTATTGGGCTCGCCGCTTCAGCAAGCGGTTCCTTCCCTGCAGAGTTTGCAGTTGTTGTTTATGAAGATGACCTTGGGGCTGACAGCTCTTGCCCAGTGGTCGATTATTCCTACAAAGGGCGTCCGCAGAGCCTCCGCGAGTTCCGGTTGAGCTCCCGCTCCCTCAGCAGCAGCAGCAGCACAGCAGCTGCAGGTACAGCTGCCTGCTGTTGCCTTTGGCCGCTGCGTGTTGCATGCGCTCTGAGGATGGGATGCAGCCTGATTCACTTGCTGCTATTGCTTTGACGCCAGCTAGCCATCAACAGCGAGCATCTTTTGCAGTATTTGTTGTTTTCTGGCTGAGGGGCCCCTGAGGCGTTGATTTCTCCCTCAGGCAAAGACAAACCCCAGCAAAACTGCAATAGAAACAACTGCTTTTGAAGGGGCAGTAGCATTACTCTCAGAAACCCTGCAGGTCTCCAGATATGGCGCAACCTGCCAACGGGGGGCCCCTGGGTACTGCTGCTGATGACAGGCAGGGGCCCCTCCTCCCTCTGCACGCAGCAGCTTCGCGTTTTAGCCCCCAAACTCCCGAACCCCAGGGAGCAAGGGGTCCCCCTCTTGCTGCCAACCCTTTTAGCGCAGGCTATGAAATTCTAGGGGTCTTAGGAGCCTTGCAAGAGGCCTCTGAGGCCCAGCCTGCTGCTGCTACTGCTGCTGCTGCGCCAGCGGCAACTGCAGATTTTCCTGTCGGCAGCCCCAGCTGCATCGCCCCCTGCAGCACGGGGCCCTGTGGAGGCCCCCTCTCTTCTTTTGAGCAATGGATGCGGCCAGTCTACGGGGATACAGCTCAGCCCTGTGCAGCAAGGCGGTGGGACGGGGCGTCTGACGGGGCCCCCCCGGGGCCTCCTTCCCACTTAGAGGGTTCTGTAAGTACAGCCGAGGGCCCTTGCTCTCCTTCGTGTGGTGCTTCTGCTGAGAGAAGCGGGGGCCCTTTGCCTTTGTCTGAGGCGCATTCGTGTTGGCCTTCCTCTGCTGCTGCATCTTCTTCTCACTTACCACAGCAGAACGATGAAAGCCCCGGCCCGGATCTGCCTGTGGGGGCCCCTGAAGGGAGCGTGGGGACCTCCCCTCCTCTTTGTACGGAAGGGGGCCCTGGGGCCCCCCCACTTGCTCGCCAGGCTAGCTGCGCAGACAGCCTGCAGCGTTCTTGCATAGGGCAAGAGAAGGAGCTCGTGCATGCTTCTTCTGCAGCATCTGTGTGCCCCGTTTCTATGCCTGTTGGCGTTTGTTCTGGTGCTTCGGGGGCTCCCAGTGAGGGCCCCCTGCCAGTATGCGTGGGCGGCGGGAGTGCAGCAGCAGCCGAGTTGAAGAGCCCCCAGGAGGGGCCTCGCCGCCCCTGCTTGGTGTTGCTGGATCTTGACAACACTCTTATCCCCACAGGGTGGATGCTTGCTTGTTGGCGACGCATGCAGCTATACTTTGGGCTACAACAAGCCGTTGCATGCATTCGAAAGGGGCTGGAGCAGGCTGCTCTTGTGCAGGCTTTAGAGGCCCTGTTTGATGATTTGGGGCGGCTACGAAGACGAAGGCATACGCAAATAGTAATCGTTACCAATGCAGGTCTGAGGACAGTGCAAGAATTCTACCTCCGTCTCTGCTTACCGGAGCTTAAAGAACTCTGTGAAAGAGAAAAGGTCTACATACACTCCACGGAGCACTTCGCACCAAGAGTAGGGCCCATACCCCCCATGACGGAAGAAGAGGCTTTCTGCGAATTCTATACTGCCCTCAAGGTACTTCATATCTCTACACTGATACCCACTGACTGTAAAACAAACTCTCCTGCTGCTGCTGCTCACGCTGATGCTGCTGCTGCTGCTGATGGTGGAAAGCCACTGTTGCTGCTGGGCTGTTAATGGTGTTGTCTAGTTATACTTTTTTTGTTTCTGGTTGCATGCACGTTGCAGCAGCTGTTGCTTTGTTGCTGTTTGCTGCTGCTTTTAATGTGCTTCCTGCTGTTTGTGTTTTGCTGCTGCAGTACCACGAATTCGACTTCGTTGTGCAGCGCTACCTCAACGCCCTGCTGCGGCATTCGCCCGTTCGGCTGCAGGGGGCCCCCCAGACAGACGAAGGGGGAGGAGCCCTGGAGACTGCGGAGGGCCCCTCCGAGAGCCCCCCTGAGGGGCCCCCGGAGAAGACCCCCGAGGGCCCCCAAGACGAAGAGGGGGCCCCCTCTCCCCAACGAAGGTCTGCGCCTCCTTTCTGCAAACGATTGCGGACTTCTCTACACCGCGAACAAGCACTTGCCGCTGATCACTGCAGCAGCAGCAGCGTCAGCAGTAGGAGCACGGGGTCTGACGCTGAGCGCTGCAAGTGGTGCAGCACTGAGGGCCCCTCTAGTGAGTGCGATGATCAAGGGGGACCCTCCGAGGGGCCCCCCTCTCGCTCCCCTAGGAAAGAAGAGGCTGCAGAGGCCTCTTCGAGGTCGTCCGGGCTGCCGGAGCAGCAGCACAAGCAGCAGCAGCAGCAGCAGCAGCAAGAGCAGCAGCAAAAAGGGCTGGACTCGTCTTCGTCTTGTTGTAGTAGTCCACCCGACCCGGCAGCAGCTGCGTCTTTATCTGCTGCATCAGCGGAGCAACCAGAGGCAGCATCAGCAGTAGACCCAGCAGCAAAACAACAACAACAACAATCACCCGCAGCAGCAGCAGCAGCAGCAGCAGAAGGGGGAGGGGCAGCAGCAGCTGTCTCTGGCGGAGCACGATCTCCACTAAGTTTGCGTAGCCAGTTGGAAGCAGCAGCAGCAAAAGAAGCAGAAGGAGAAGGAAGGTGTTTGTCCGTTTGTGGTGTATCTGGTGGTGTCGACGAAAGCAGCAGCAGCAGCAGCAGCAGCAGCAGCAGCCCTTTGGGTTCTCCTAGCGAAAGCCCGCGCGGGTTCGATTCCCTCCCCGCGGATTGGCGCTGCGATTTAATTAGTGCTGGTGATCAGATATGTGAGATCCACGCTGCATGCAGAGTAGCAAGGCATTTCTCTAACCACGTCAAATTTGCCAAACTCCTCTTCTTAAGAGACCCTCTCGACCCCAAGTTCGTCGAACAAACGCCAAGGAGATTTATCGCTGTAAGCATATATATATATATATATATATATATATATATATATATATATATACATATACATATATATATATATAT